CAGTTGCTTTCCCAGGGAGATTCCCAATCCCTGTGCCCTCCACATCCCCTGTGCTGCAGGGAAAATCCCCCCTYCTGCCCCACAGATTGTCAGGAATGTGGCAATGTTTCCCCTCCTTTCAGCCCCCCATCATTCCTGGATGCCACCAGTCAGATCAAAATCACACCAGTTTTTTTTCAAATTAATCAGATCTGCTTCATTCCTCAGAGAAACTGGTCCTGGAGGGGCTGGCAGGGGGTTTTTAGGGAGGCTGGCAGGTGCCTGTTKCCTCTCAGGATGTCTGGAGGTTTCTCCTGGGATTTTGTTTTTGATCAGAAGTGCCAAGCAATCCCATCTTCTTCTTGGTGCGTTCCAAAGCCATAAAAACCAGACAGAAAATACTTTCCACGTGCAGAATTTTTATGATTAAATGCTTCCCCCTCTTTGTCTTTTGTTCTGCCATTTCATTTTAATGAATATTTTATAGGGATTATATTTTTATAAGACAAGGCTGCAYGGCCTTGCTTCAGCTCTTATGTCAGTACAACAACACTTTGTCACCTTATTTTACCCCACCAGCTCAGAATGTGTTTTGCAGATTGAACTGGACTCTTGGTTTAAAATAATTCTGAGGTTTGTCGGTGTTTTGGAGTGAAGTSCTGGAGAAAGTGAGCAAAGTGCTGGAGAAAGTGGCATCAACTCAAATTTTACTGCCTGCCCTGCATCACCTTTGATGCCTTCTCTCCTTTTTCCTGCAGGGCATTGATTTTTGTCCTGGCCAGAATGTGTCTGGAGTGACAACACACACCCAGGAGGAGCACACGTACCTGCCCCTGCTGTTCCACCTGGGCAGGGAYCCTGGAGAGAAATACCCTTTAAGGTGAGCCACTTGATGAGATTTAATGAAAATTCAGCAGTGTGAGCATGCAAAATTCCTATTCTTTGGTAGCTGGTTCTTGAAATCTTAAAAACTCTCCCAGAAAGCCATGCTGGGAAATAACAGAAAAAAGAAAGGAAAAAGAAAGAAGCAAACCTTATTTTCAGGTGGTCAGATGAGATGGGTGTGCAATGGACTCCCTGATCTCGTTGTTCCTGTTCCATGTCCTGCAGCCCCTTGGGGAGGAGAAAAACCCCATTTTTGGGCAGGGCAGGGCTGAGTGCAGTCAAACAGGGCAGCTGTGCCCTGTTTTGGGCCAGGGAAGGAAGAACCAGGCACAGAACTGAGGGGCTCTGGGTGTTTTGGGATAGGGAAGGAAGAACCAGGAGCTGGGGGGCTCTGGGTGTTTTGGGCCAGGGAAGGACCAACCAGGCATGGAGCTGGGGGGCTCTGGGTGTTTTGGGCCAACCAGGCATGTTTTCTGCTGGAATCTCTGGAGAGCACACCAGTAACCTTCCAGTCTCCTACCCCAGCTGAGGGAGCTGCTCCAGAGGGTTTTAGCAGGAGGACTTTGTGCCCAATGCTGCTTCATCCTCGGGCTCTCCTGGCTGTCTGAATCCATTTTCCTCTAAGCCTGCTATTGTAATATTTATCTCTGGCACACACCATGCCCTGAGAGATTCCTGTAAGGATTTATGCAGTCATCAGCCAGCAGAGCCCACAAAGAACTCTGCCACCTCCGAAAATGCTCCCAAGGTGTCCCCACCTCCCTCCCTCCCTCCCTCCCTCCCTGCAGCAAAAGCAGGGACACGCAGCCTCATCCCTCACCAGTGGCTCTGACTGGGAGAGAGTGGAAATAAATCAAGAGGGACCAAGTGCTGCTGGGACTGCCTGCCCAGAGCTGGGCTTGTGCAGCAGCCTGGAGAGGCAGAGATGTTTTCTGAGCTGACAGGGCTGCAATTACTCAACTGTTTTGAATAATTGARTGGACACACTCACCCCATTCCTTCCAGGGGAGCTGAGCCTGTGCTGTCCACAGAGTGTTTTCATTGGGGAGAGGAGGGGAGGARAAAGATTTCTGTTCTCTCTGGCTGAACAGAGCACTTTGGAGCTGCATCAGGCAGTGGGTAAAGCTCTTTGGGAGCTCTGCTTCCACTGCATTCCAGCACTGATGAATAAAGCACAGCTGCAGCTCYRGGGCTGGAAATACAGCTCAGTGAAGGTAAACTGGGCTGGGATTCCAGGTGAGACATGGAAAGTTTAACAATTGCTCCATTTCCCAGGAGCCTGGAGTGGCAGGACACAGGGAATGGCTTCCCACTCACAGAGGGCAGGGTTAGATGGGATTTGGGGAGAAATTCCTCCCTGTGAGGGTGGGGAGGCCCTGGCACAGGGTGCCCAGAGCAGCTGTGGGTGCCCCTGGATCCCTGGCAGTGTCCCAGGCCAGGCTGGACAGGGTTTGGAGCACCCTGGGATAATGGAAATTGTCCCTGCCCATGGCAGGGGTGGGACAAGATGAGCCTTAAGGTCCCTCCAACCCAAACCATTCCAGGATTCTGTGATTTTCTTTTGGGAAATGAGTGTACAGAAATAACCTCTTTGTTCAAAAATCAAACCAAGGGCTAGGAGTCACTGCACTGTGGTTTGCCTGCTGTGTTTGTCACCCGTGTCACCTGCTCCAGGTGACCCTGCCTTGCCAGGGGGATAGCACTGGATAATCTTTAGAACTCCCAACCCTAAATACTCTGTGATTCTGGGGTTCTTTGATGCTGTTTGTGTTTCCTCTGGATCCTTCTGGATTTCCCTCAGAGGTGTTTGCAGCACCTGCTTCCCTGGGATTTCACTGTTCCTCCCCACCACCATGGAGTGAGCATTGAAATAAATTCCAGCGTTGCATCTGCAATCATTTCTCATATGGTTGCATTGATTTTTCGGATATTCACAAGCTGTTGCTTTGATTGAATTTTATGGCAAGATTATGACACGATTATGGAGAGCTGTGCTGGTGTTTATTATGCAGCCCCTAATAGAAACCCTCTTTTTAGCAAACCACTCTTCCTTTCTCCAGCACATTCTGCTGCTATTGTCTCCTCTCTGGTCACAATGGAAAACTCATGGGAAGTGGGTCTCCTCTATCGAATGTGGTAATTAAATTATCCTCATTTGTGGAGCTGTTCCTGGTGTGTATTTTTATTTAGCTTAATTATCCCCCTTGGCAGGGAGCCTGCTGGGAGTCCCGACACTAATGTTGCTCCAAAGGGAATCCAGCATCCTCCTCCCAGCCTGCATCTGTCTGTCCCTTCATGCTGGCTCTGTTCCCTCTGCCTGCTTTTGCTCACTTTTTATTACATTTATTCCTTATTTAGTGCAGCCTTTTCTTCTCCCTTGAAACGATTTGAATAATCTGTCATCTCTCTTGGTTTTGGAGTGGGGTCACGTGCAAGGCCACCAGCAGTGGGTGTCACTGCTGCTCAGGAGGGCCTGGCATCACATGCACCTCCAGAGGGATTTGCTGTTTCTATATTTGGGATTTAGAGCCAGGGAATCCCACAAATCAGCAGCTCAGTCACCTGCAGCAACACCCCTGACTTGCAGGGTTGTGACACTGCATGTGCAGGACACACACAGACAATTCTTCAGGGCTACAATTTCCTAGATTCAGGGAATATTTAAGATTGGAAAAKACCCTCAAGTGCCATTAACCTGGCCCTGCCAAGCCCACCTCTGTTTGGGTCATCTCATGGGGGCTGGAATGAGATGAGCATTAAGGTCCCTTCCCACTGAAACAATTCCATGATTTTGTTATTCCATATTGGGCAGATGAGTGTATAGAAATAACCTCTTTTTCCAGAAGTCCAACAAAGCTTTTCAGTCTTTGTTGAAGTGCTGCTCAAGGGATCCCTGAAAATGCAGATCAGAGGCAGCAGGTGACACGTTCAGTTCCTGCAGGTGAAGCAGGACAAGTCCTTCCTGTCCCTGGCAGGGTTCACTGCATTTCCTGGAGCTTACAGACAGTGCCAGCACAGCCTGGCACCCACAGCAGCACCTCCCATGCACTGCAGAGCCTGCTCAGGCCATTCAGGGTCCTGTCAGCATGCTGGGGACTTGTCTGGCTGTGCTGAGCCACCTGGCACCCTGCACTTGTGTTCCCTTCATGTGCCTCATCCCTGCTCTCAGCTAGAGCAGCTCCTCTGGATTTGGCTGGATCCCCCCAATTGCTGCCAAGGAACACAGTTGTGTTTGCTCCTTTGCCTTGAAATGACATCAAATTCTGGAATGGTTTGGGTTGGAGGGACCTTAAAGCTCATCCAGTGCCACCCCTGCCATGGCAAGGACACCTTCCACTGTCCCAGGGTGCTCCAAACCCTGTCCAGCCTGGCCTTGGACACTGCCAGGGATCCACAGGGGCAGCCACAGCTCTGGGCACCCTGTGCCAGGGCCTGCCCACCCTCACAGTGAGGAATTCCATCCCAATATCCATCTGTCCCTGCCCTCTGTGAGTGGAAATCAGTTACCCCTTGTCCTGTCCCTCCATCTTTTGTCCCAAAGTCTCTCTCCAGCTCTCCTGGAGCCTTTTAGACCTTTGTGTAAGAGTTACCTCATCCTTGTTGGTAAGAAGTTAATCCTTTGTGCCTTTTTGTCATCTSAGAGGTTGGCTTGATAAGGCAGACTGTGGGATAGAAAATATCTCTTTTTTATAGCTCTCAACTTTAAAATCTAGCTAAGAATGAGTGTGAGGCAGCACAGAAAGCAGCAGCATTTCCTTGAGCCTAAGCAGGGCTTTGTTTCCTCCCTGGATGCAATAATGGGGGATTTTGCTTCATAGCAAAACACTCAAACTGCCCTTGTTACCAAATTTATCCAAATGCAGAACTAAAAGATCTGATAGGTTTTATTCTTGGCCAGATTYTGTTATCTTTGGGCTGTGGTGTGTGTGCTCAGTACCACAGAGGGAACTGGCTTCTCCAAAGTGRCAAATTCAGTGAAATTATCTGTTGGTAACATCTTCACAAGCAGTTGTCAGCTTTATTAATTGAGTCAGATTCTTGTTTATACACACATTTGCTAAAATACTGCATTACCAGTCAAGAAGAACACAAAGAAAGATTTATAAATATATATAAATATATATATATATATGTGTAAAGCAAAGTTGGCACAGCTAAAAATACTGTTGCTAAAACACCTCATGCAACCTGAAGTAGAAAAAGTGTTTTGAAGCCAAAGAATTTCTAACAGAAATCTCTGAAATTCTGCCAGTTTGAGCCAGAGGTGCAAAGCTTAGTAACAAGTAAGGACAGGGTAAGTACAGCCTGCTCACACCTTGTTGTTGGTCTGTAGCAGCTTCTGCTCTGAGCAATGAGTTTATTGAATTATGAACATCAAAATTCCTGTGTTTTACTTAGGGCAATGGATTTTACTATTATGGAAGAAAATGGAAGTGATAAGGCTTGGTTGATGAACATAATGATTTTAGAACACATTAATTAAGAAGAGAGCTCACAAGTGCCTATTTCGAGCAGATGGAAWATTCAGGAAATCATCAGAGAGGTAATTGCAGTGGTTATGGAGCCAGAAAAAAAAGGGAAGGAGCTCCTGAAGGGAAGCTAAAGGGGAAAGGATCTGATAGAAAAGTTGCCAGTCTCACCTTAGTGCTCAGGGCACAAACGTGGCTGTGGGGAAGAGAGAGAAGGTGCAAAACAGAGGGAAAAATGAGAATAATAACAAAGARCAAGGATTGTGCCCAGGGGAGGTGCTGACTCCTCATCCTGGAAAAGAGGGAAATGGTACCAGCTGTGTCACACCGGTGAATTTGCAGCTGCCACAGGAGAGGTGGCACTGAAAATGTGGAAATTGTGGATAAAGAACCTCAGAGGTGGCAAGAAAATCCACAGAGCACCAAAAACAGCGTGGATGCAGCAAGGTGGGAGTGGTACAGAGCCAGCTCAGAGGGAAGGAGGGAAATAAAATCCACCAGTGGAGGAGAATCAGCAGCCTGGAGATTGGGAATGGAGACAAACASCTCTGGATCCATGGCTGCCCTTCCCCATCCCTGGAACCCGCCTGTACCTCGTGCTTCATCAGCCATGAGTTCTGGGGGCAGTGATGCTGCATAAACAGCAATGCTGGGAGGAAAAAGCTGCATGAACCAGCTGGAAAAAAATGCAAAATGCAGTTTGAGATGCACATCATCATCATCATCTTCCATCATCATCATCTTCTTCAGAGATGGGCCCAGGCAGTGCTGCAGCCCCAAGAAAGTGCCCTGAAGAACACAGTGCTTAAATTACGATTCAGAAATACCGCTGGAAATGAAACTTCAGGAATCCCATGGGAAATTAAACTTCAGGAATGCCACAGAAGCAGCAGCAGCAGGATCAGGTGGATGTTTGTTGTTTTTTGTCACCTGTTCACACACACACAAAGGCTTTACTGCTCTCTCTGCCTTTATCCCCTTTGCCATTTCAATGCTGTGCTTCTTCACAGTGAAGTCCAGTAGAAAGGCAGGATTCTGCAAGCTGGGGAGGTCAGACTTCCATGAAAACAGGTGAGCAGAGGATCAGCACCATCACACTTTGGACTCGACCATCCTGGAGCYCTTTTCCAGYCTGAATGATTCTGRGATTCCAAGATTTCCTGTGGCTGAGTGGCCACATCTGTGCCCCAAAATGCTGCTGGATGGACCAGAGGTGACCTGGGGTAAGGGCCACCTTCACTCTTTGATTCCTCATTTGTTTTCCTTTGGCTCCTCTGAGTCTCTCCAGTAATTCCAGCAGCAGARCCCCAAACCTGTCTCTGCCTCCTGCATTGTGCAGACCTTAAATTGCAAATAAACTTGATAATAGAAGAGAGGAACTGAGGAAGACTGAATAATAAGACAAGATCAAGACTTGGATACCACGGTGCTGCGAAGCCTCAAAGCACTGATAACAGATCAAATCAAATTATCAGAATCTGGGTGTATTTCACAATTAAAAATAATGGTTTTAATTAAAATAAGTCCAGGGGAGAAGGAAGTGAAGTATCATTAGCCACGTTTTGTGCTCTTCCCATAACTTCATATCAATCTGAGAGCTGCTATTCATCGAATCATGGAATCCTGGAATGRTTTGGTTTGRAAGGGACCTTAAAGTTCCTCCAGTGCCATGGACAGGAACATTTTCCACTGTCCCAGGCTGCTCAAAGCCCCATCCAACCTGGC